ATCACTGTTTACTACAGAGCCGGTACTGTTGCATGTACATATGCGATGTATATAGTCTGTATTCAAAAAATGAAGAAGAAAAGGAGCAAAAACACAACGATTTTTTGACGACTTCACGACAGCGGATCATGGCGGACAAGTTCTTTCACAGTCTTGTATGCAGCAGTTGGAAAAAGAGTGTTGGTGTTTTATCAAAAAGCGATTCTTTGAGAAAATTGTTGTACAACTGTCTGTAAACTGTAGTGTCTATTTTGCAAGACCACTCTACCATAATGTAACAGAAGTGGCCTGAATCTTCACAGGCAAAGAAGTGCATTGCTATGAATATTTAAAGAAACTAAACGCTGCGGTGTTGAACATTGTGAACAGTTTACATTTCGTGACTTCAATACATAAAATGGTCTGGAAAGTGCATTTATAGATTTGGCGAGCAAATGGTGAAACCTCAAAAATCTGTGAATTCCTCTGGGTTTTTATTTCCTTTGTATATTTTTTATCTCAATGACTGAGTTGAGCTGGCCTGTTTCTCTCTCACACACACACAGACACACAAACGTGACTTTGGAGAAAATCTATCCAAGCCAGCAGCAGTTATGATACTATAGATATATATGTAGACGTATAGAGCCTCTGACACCAACAACCACAAAGCTAGCTGTTTAATTACCACCACAATAACTTCCCCGTCCGTTCAGATTTTTATATTTTTTGTACGCCTCCTTTAAGAGTTCCCTTGCTTCACTGTGACGGTGGCAAGGGCTGCTGGGAGACGAATATAGAGCGCGCACAGGAGAAACTCAGGGGCCATGACAGGTCTTGCTTGGGTCGGCGAAAGCAGGTGCCAAAGACAGGATCTTCTTGTTGGTTATGAATGAAGAGATTTTCGTTTCGCTGCAGTCGGGCTGGACCTACACAGAGGCCACGTGGCGTGTTTTTAAGGGGGTATGCATTTTTAACCAAAGGCACCGTGGATCCGCGAGATGTAAATGAATGAAAGCAGAGGAGTGATCAGGTTCCTCGCATCGGGCCACAAACGGGCAGTATAGTACAGTGTGCAGGGAGAAAGCGTTTACCATAAAAAGACAATGCAGCGGCCATCTTGGATCGGAAGGGGATGATTAACCGGCATTAATCTCCCGAGACTTCACAATAAACCTGCAACAGCGCTGGTCTTGTGCTGCCTCTATTGTCCGGTAATGAGTGACTTCTCAACCTCACAAAAGCCATAGACGGTGGGAGAAGATTGAGCCCGTAAGACAAAAGGTGCGAGAAAATCAACCCAAAAGTCCGTTCAATCACGAAAATTCAATGTTTATAGATTGGGGAAAAGTTTGCATTCCTTTTTTGCTTAGATTAGACTTTTAAACAGAGACCTTTCTATGGCATTCCCTTAACTGGCCTCTATGGCAAGTATTTTACAGTGAAAAATGTTGATGACCTTTAATAGTATGGGTTTCATGATTAGGCTGAAAAAGTCAAATTACAACAGCTATGCAACAAGCGTATTAGCTAATGTATACTAATTCAAAAAGGACATCTTCCACTGTCTATGGCAAAAATAGACTTATTTACGTCTATAGCAATATACATGCAAACTCCATAGAGGCATCAGTGGTAAAGGACAATGGCAGGCGGCGACGGTGGGAGATAGAAGGAAAAATATCAAGACAATATTCAAATAATCTATAAGAAATTATGTAAAATGTGCTTTTAAATGATTTGGTTTAAGCTCTAGCAGAAGACGCTACTTTAGCTTTCAGATTAACTTCAATGATAATACTTTATACCTGATTATAGATGGGAATTATAAAATATTCTAGACTTTTCTACTAAAAAAAACAATGGTGATTTTGGATATACTGTATCTCCCACCTCCATCAGACAAGATGAGCCGATCGTTTTCTTTTTATTCCAAAGGCATTCGAAACCTCCACAAAACACAGGGGCAAAAGGCATGCGAGGACGTACCGATAAGCTTTAGGCAACACTCTGGGCTAAAAGCAAACTCTAAAAAAAAAAGTTTAAATAATAATAATAATAATAATGAGCTCCGAATACCTACTGTGATCTCCTCTTGCACCACCCCCTCATCACTCACCTTTTCACCACTGGACCTGTCCCTTAGCCCTGCCCCGGCCTCCCCCCCTCCCCTATAGCAGCACTCCTCTCCCCCCCTGGTTCCGTGGGTGGTGTGATGTCAGGTTAATGTGGGGGGCTGCTTCTGACAGGTCCAGACAATCAGCGTGTTTGTAAATGTCAATTCTGTGTGTGACTTTTTTGAATTCTTTGTTTATGGTCAGGGTTTTCAAAAGGCAGATATTTTTATGGTAATTTGTCGCCGGGTCTATTTTACTATATATTTATGTAATAAATATGTGACTAAATTGACATCTCACTGGCTCTTTGGTCTGTTATTGGTTTTAATTCAACAACCAGGTACAACATTTGCTGGAAGATTTTCATTAATGGACTAATAAATGAAAACACAAAAATACCTCTTTTGCTGTCCTCGTCTCTTGATTTGCTGTGTAAGTATTCATTTCTTCCATTAAGTCCACTCAAAGTTTGTGAAGAGGGTCTAAGTTTAGAGATAGATAATTATTTTATAAATCATTTACTGTACATACAGGAATTCACTAAAGTATGAGATAGACATTTGAAATTCTTGTACGAATCACAATCATAGACTGTCGCCATATGCTGCACGTGTAAACCCAAACGAATAAAATTAATAGTTACCTAATCTAACTTAAGTTCTACGAATAGGTGCGTAGTCCCTTAGCAGACTTCGCTAGTGGGATATCACGTGACCCCCAAGTCACAGACGCCAGAGAGATCAACAAAAATGCTCCAATCACTAGCGACCCTCCTCTATAAAGGCCCCTGCTCCATAGCCGCGCCCCCTCTTGAACTCTGCCAAGCCGGGCTGTCCTGATGGGCTCGTAGCTAAGGGACTACGCACCTATTCGTAGAACTTAAGTTACATTAGGTAACTATTAATTCTACGTCATGGTGCTACGTCCCTTAGCAGACTTCGCTAGTGGGACACAACGCGGAGGCCGTAGGAACATGTACTCCCAGCAGGCCAGCGAAGAGTGATTGGAGCTCCGCCCGAGCAAGACCCTCACAAGTGAGAGGACTCAGGGCAGAAGAAGCAATTGCGTGTTACAGGGCCACTCCTCCCAAGGATACCCCCAAGTAACACAGACCAAAGGTCCCACGTAGTCCCAGGACGCCTCTCCCAAGAGCTCCTGACGTGGACTACCTGACTGACCAAAGCACACACATATACCGCACCTGCAGGACGCCACTCCCAAGAGCTCCTGAACCAGGGCGGAAAGTCAACCGTCGGCCCCTAAGAGGGGAACATAAGGTTGCAACTCAGTCCGCTGCACCCAGCACGGAATGGGCCACCGACCGGTCCGACACATCCAAAAGGTAAGACCGGACGAAAGAAGAGGACGACGCCCAAGAAGCCGCACGGCACACGTCCTCGACCGACGCCCCCCTGAGGAGGGCCGTAGAGGCCGCCACCCCACACGTGGAATGCGACCTGAAGCCCACCGGGGGGGCCAGACCCTGAGCCTGATACGCCCGCCGCACAGCCGTGGCGACCCAGTGCGCCAGCCGCTGAGCCGACAGCGGGGCGCCCCTGTTCTTGGGGCCCAGACACACAAACAGCTGATCAAACAACCTGAATGAAGACGTCATGGCCAGGTAATGCCTAAGCATTCTGACAGGACACAGAAGGTGCCGCCGCTCTTCCTCGGGGGAGGCATGCGGCGGCGGATGGAATGCCCTAATCCTGATCACTCTCGACCTGAAGGCCGACGTGATGACCTTAGGGAGAAAAGCCGGAAGGGCCACAACTCCACCAGGCCGTCGCCCTCTCCAAAGGACAGGCAAGACGCATGGACGGAGAGCGCACACAAGTCGCCCGCCCTCTTAGCAGACGCCAACGCCAGCAAGAGGGCAGTCTTAAAAGCAACACACTCGGGACTCGCCTCCGCCGCCGGTTCAAAAGGCGGGCCCGACAGACCCCTAAGGACCACCCTGAGGTCCCAAACCGGGGGCGTTCTCTGAAGCGGGGGCCTCCTCCTGCGCGCCCCCCGCAGAAAACGTTTAACCAACGGATGAGAGCGGGCTGTGAACCCCCCGAAACCGTCGTGACCCGAGGTAATGGCTGCCGCGAACACCGCCAAGGTGGCGACAGCCCTCCCCTTGTCAAAAAGTTCCTGTAGGTGTCACAGGGGTAAAAAAGCAGGTTCTTCGGACCCGGATTTAAAAAGGACCACTGTATTAAAAGCGAATTAAAAGCAATTTATTATAAAATACATTAAAAACAAGTAAATAAAAGCAATAAAAACCTAAGCTAAAGAAAGGGCTAAAAAGCTAAAACAGAGGCTAAAACAGGCTAAAATGCGTCCCCACGGCCTGGGCCGCCAGACCACGGGGCTCTCACCCGCCGCGCCTGGCTCCCGTGTCTCGTTCCCAGTCCCGGGACCGGGCCGCAGTCCCGCCAGCCGCTCGCCGGCCACGGGTCGCCACCGGGGACCCGCGGGGGAGAGCCGGCACATCTCGGTCGTTGGGCCTAGCCCGGGCGCGCACGCGCCAATGCACTATCAATGCGCGCCTCACCGGTGCCGCTCTCCCCGCTGGCCTCAGTGCCCCGTGGTCTCTGGCTGGCGGTGCTCGTCCTTGGCCCGGTCCCATGTCCTCCTCCTCTGGACCGGCTCTGCCCTCCTCTGTTCCTCTCTCTCCGCCTCTCTGTCCCCCCATCAGTCTTTTATTCTCAAGGCGCAGGTGTCTTGATTGCTCACGTGGGGAGCCGGGGTGCTTCAGGTGGTGCCAGTTAAAAATCAATATTAAAAACACACAAACACAACATGCATAAAATATGAATAAAACCATATTAAAACCCACCACCCATTTTGCACCCCCTGACACTCCCCCCTGCTTTAATCTTAGCAGTCCCTGCTAACAGAGAACACCTGCGCCTTTCAATCTCTGGGGAGGGGGTTCGCCTCCACCGTGAGTCTCCCGGGGCCTCCGCCGCGTCTCTCCCGGGGCCTCCGCCGCGTCACTCCCGGGGCCTCCGTCGCGTCTCTCCCGGGGCCTCCGTCGCGTCTCTCCCGGGGCCTCCGTCGCGTCTCTCCCGGGGCCTCCGTCGCGTCTCTCCCGGGGCCTCCGTCGCGTCTCTCCCGGGGCCTCCGTCGCGTCTCTCCCGGGGCCTCAGCGATAGCACACCCATCCTTCCTCCACGGAGCCCTAGCCTCTAATCGCAACTTAAAAACAGTGGTACCGGGTCCTGCCAGACAACGCCAAATTATGCAACGAGGGGGGGGGCTATGAAGGTGGTTGGAAGCGGAATGAAATTTGACCGGAAAAATAACTATTGCAAAAAAAGAGATTGAGTGACCGGGTGAGAGCACACTTGTCTACCAAGGAGGGCAAAAAGGTCGTGGCAAGTTATTAAAATTTAATGCAAGGAATAATTAAAACAGTAAAAAAATGCCCACAAATAAAAACACTGTGTTAAAAGTCCATTAAAAACAAGGTGGTCTAAAAAAAAAGGTTAAAACTACTAAAAGGCACGGTCCACGGTCAGGTGCAGGCAGGTCCCACTCCCTCCTGGTCCAGGGCAGCACTCCAACCTGGGTCACACGCACTGGGCCACCTAGAATGCAAAGCATACGCCAGTACGGGGGTCCGAAGCTATAAGGCCTTAGGCTACGATGGTGGAGTGTCGCTACAATACGTACACACAAGGCAGAGTTATCCTGCCCCTGCGTGTGTTCAGCGTCACAACACTCCTTCACTTAGTCTCGACTCCTCCCGTCTGGCTCTCGTCCTCCGTACGCTGAGACACCTACGCGGAAATCACTAGCGGCAGTCAAACGTTCTAAACAGTGATGTGCTCGATCTAACTTTATCCGACAAGTGTTACTATGTCCCCAAAAGGTACTTACACGGAAGGCAGAGTTCTCCTCTGCCTCTGCGTGTATATCGCCTCGCAACACTTGCGGTCTCAGCGTGCTGTAGTCCCGATGCGTGTGCCGTCCTGCTCATCCTGCTTGTGGTGGGGTGCCGCGGCTTTCCTGCTCTTGCGTGCTTGTTGTCTCTCTGCCTCTCTCTGTGTTTGTCCTGTTGTGGCTCCTGCGCTCCTTTTATTTTCTCCAATTTCCGCCAGACACAGGTGCTTTTGATTGTCCCGCAGCAGGGATTGGGGTAAAAGCCATGTGATAAAAACATGTGACTATAGCGAGTCCTTAAAACTATAAATAAGGTTAAAATGCACGGCAAGATAAAAACACAAAACCACAGCACACGATAAAAACAAAAATAAATGCCAAGTCACTTGTTCTTATTCACATAGGAATCCCAGGACTCCCTCCAGCGGGCAACGCCTGGGATCCCAGGAGCGAGAACCGCACCAGTCGCTGAAGAGCCTCCATCTCGTGGCGTAGGCCCTCACAGTGGACGGCGCCCTCGCCCCCTGAATAGTCTCCACCACCGCCGGGGGAAGACCCAGGTCTACGAGGTTCCGCCTCTCAGCCTCCAAACCCAGAGCCTGCGGCCGATTGTCGGGCGTGAAAACAGGGCCCCCCACCCCTTGGACTAGAGCCCCCGGCTCGTCCGGGAGGGCCCAGGGCTCCATCACCGCCATGCCCCTCAGGAAGGGGAACCACCGGGCATGTGGATTGTCCGGAGCCACCAGGATCACCGACCTCCTCTCCTGTTCGATCCTCCGCAGCAGGACCGGCAGGAGACGCACTGGTGGAAAGGCATACAGCAGGCCCCCTGGCCAGGGGTAGTGAGCCAGGGCGTCCACACCTAAGGGCGGCTCGTCTGCGGCCCTTAAGGCGAACCAGGACGGGCACTGTGCGTTCTCTGCACTGGCGAAAAGGTCGACCACTGGACGACCGAACCTCCGCCAGACCTCCACAGTTACCCGTGGGGCCAGGCCCCACTCGTCCTGTAGTGGGCCCCCCCTGGACATCCTGTCGGCCCCCACGTTCCGGGCACCCGGGACGTGGCGCTCCCTCAGGGACAGAAGGTGAAGCGCCGCCCACAGCAGCGTCACCGTCGCCATGCGATGGAGGGCGGGGGATCTGGTGCCCCCCTGCCTGTTCAGATAAGACACCACTGTGGTGTTGTCTGAGCGAACCATGTCTCCCCTGCAGTTGAGGAGAAAAGTGCAGCAGTACCCTGTGTACTGCCTCCATCTCCAGAAGGTTGATGTGGCGGGCTGAGTCCGACCAGCAGCCTCCTACAGAGCTCTGGCCGAGGACCCCGCCCCAACCCTCGAGTGACGCGTCCGTGAACACCTCCACGTGAGACACGGCGCAGGCCAGAGTCACTCCGTCCCGCAATAGACCCGGAGTGAGCCAAAACCTGATGTCCGATGCTGCCACTTGGGGAACCCAGATAAGCCTCCCCCCGTCCCGGGAGGGGTGAAGCCTGAGGCGTGAGAACCACCTCTGAAAATTCCTCATGTGGAGAAGGCCTAGCCGCACCACAGCATGAGCCGCCGCCATCATCCCCAGCAGGGACCTGAGGCGCCGAGCGGGGACCCTGGGGCCCGCCAGAACCTCCCTGGCTAGACGGGTAATGTTCCTCCGTCTGTCCTCGGACAATGCAGCATGGAATGTCACAGAGTCTAGCTGCAGGCCGAGATAGATCATGCGCTGAGCCGGTTGCAGCCTGCTTTTCTCCCTGTTCACCACAAAGCCCAGGCGCTGTATGTGGGACAGGACCCAGTGCGTGTGACCACTTCCCTGGATGGGGCCAGTATTAACCAATCGTCTATATAGGTTAATATTCTTACCCCGGCGCGTCTGAGCGGCTCCAGTGCCGCCTCCACGCACTTTGAGAAGGTCCGAGGCGCGAGCGCGTAGCCGAAGGGGAGACGGCAGTACTCGTAACTCCTCTCTCCCACTGCGAAGCGCAGGAACCTCCTGTGTTCCGGAACTATCGGCACGTGGAAGTAAGCATCTGTCAGGACATCCAATCTCCCTGCCTGACACACTCGAGGAGCTGTTTTGTGGACAGCATCCAAAACTGCCGTTTGGAAATGCACTCGTTCAGAACGCGCAGATCCAAAATGGGACGCACCCCGCCTGACTTCTTTGGCACCAAGAAGTAAGGGGAGTACAGCCCCCTGGTGGCGTCCTGTGGGTCTACCTCTACTGCTGCGCCTCGACTCAGCAGAGAGGAGACCTCCGCTTGTAGTGCCACTAATGACCCCCGTACATGAGAGCGTACTGCCCGTACGCCTCGGAATGGCGGTGGCTTTCGGGAGAATTGCAGTGCGTAACCCCTGCGCAATGTCTTCTCCAGCCACGGATCCGTCAGTAAGCCCTTCTCCCTCCAGATGCTGTAGAAGTCTGTGAGGGGCGGAACGGGAGCTGGAACACGAGACGTCACAGCCCCGCCCTCTCCTGGTGTTCCTAGCAGGGAGGGGGGGTGGACGAAAGGGCAGGGGGGCCCCCTGCGTCATACCGTGTGCGCCGGGGGCGGTCACGTGTCCTGCAGGCCCGACGTCATAAGTACGGGTCTGCTCATGCCATGTGACTCGACCGCTCCGCCCCCCCCTGGCTCTTGCCTCATGGAGGGGGGGGCGAGCCCCTGGAGTGGGAAACCCCGTGTTAGCCTTGTAGCTCAGAGGGGCTAGCACGCGTTCGGCCGAAGCACACACACCACTACTCACCAGATCCCTCCGCCTGACCTCTCTCTCTGGGAGGGCATAGTATGGATCAGAGGACCGGAGCTCGTAGCTCGCGTAGCGCACTGCACACCCTGCTCTGGGGGGCTGCAGGCCTAGCGGAGCAACGTTATGGGCTCGGGAAGTAACACAATCAGACACATTAGACATGTTACGTACCCCCAAATGAGACTCAGACAACGAGTACTGATGAAATGCCAGTCGGCCTTTATTGAAAGAATTCTTACCACCCCGGCCTCCTCTACCATAGGGAGGCCGGCGGTGGGTGCGTTGGTCCCGCGAGCCTCCTGTGGGTCTGTCTGGACCCGGGGGCCTCGTCGAGGGGGGACGATGGACAACAGAGCGCGGATACGGGTCAGGATGCCTCCCGGGCGAACGCTCTCTGCCTCTGTCCCGGCTCTGTGATGGTTGGTGGGCCTCGCGCCTCGGTGCTAGGTGCGGGGCTAGATCCTGGCACATGCGCAGGATCGCCGCCGAGGTGGTCCTCGCCTGTGATAGGAGGTCTCCACTGAGCGCCTGGCCAGAGGAGAGCGACCTATTCAGAGCCCCCGTGATGAATGCCATGTTGTTAGCCAATGCGACGACCTGTGCCGCATTGGCATAACATCTATCCAGCATCGCCAAAGACATCCTGTCCCGCTCGGAGGGAAGGAGAGGTCTGGTGCCGGGCCACAGGGATGCGGAGGGCTGCAGGGCCATGCGGACTGAATCCTCGATGTCCGGGACACCACCGGTCCAGGACCAGTCCTGCACGCTGCAGTACATACCGTACCCCAGAGCAGGCCTCTTGGCTGCTAGGGGCTTTGGCCACTCACGTGTCGCGTAATGGACGATCGGGTCCATCCGCGGGCACAACGTGGGTTGTATCCTCCTCCTCCCTCGAGTGGTGGCGCCCACAGAGGTGAAGTCCTCCACCCTCTGGATCGGCTGCGGTGGCAGAGGAGCATCCATGATGGCCGCCGCGGAGGAGTAGAGCCCAGGCATGTGGTCCAGCGGAAAGCGGTCCGGCTCCGGGTTCGACACCACCTCGTCCAGGGTGAGGAGAGAGCCGATCTCCGAAGCCTCTCCATCCTCGCAGTTACCCCATTCCGCGGGCAACGACGACGTCCGACGCCGGAGGGCGAAGGGGAACTCGGACGAACAACGGAAGACATCTCTCAGAATGAAGTAAGTACTGTGGTAGATCTCAATCGGCGCCAGAGTGAAAGAGGGGGCGCGGCTATGGAGCAGGGGCCTTTATAGAGGAGGGTCGCTAGTGATTGGAGCATTTTTGTTGATCTCTCTGGCGTCTGTGACCTGGGGGTCACGTGATATCCCACTAGCGAAGTCCTAAGGGACGTAGCACCATGACGTAGAACTTAGAAATGCGTTTTGAATTAGTTTGTGATTGTTTAAAGTTTAGAGTCAAAAAAGCCACTAACCTCCTTTTCTTATCTATAGTCAAAGTTATTCTCACTGTACATGACTCATGTCAAACCCCTGAAATGCTTAATACACTAACTTTTTCTCAGGGAAACCACAGCATTTCATTTATAAAATTTGAACCCAACACGTAATAAGACATTAAAACGTTAAATAGTCTTCAATTTCATTTCTTATTACATATATTTATTTGGTCCAGTTTTGGTACAATCCAAACAGTAAACTCATTTTGTTCAGAAAGATCTATCAGAAAAACATATCCTGTAAAAAATATTTATAATAAAAGCAAATTAATGTTATTCTCTTGGCCCCAGACCTGCTTTTAATTTTTAAAAGAGTTTGACATTGCTGCTGTACATACGAAGACATTTGTCTATCTTCATTCTTAACCTTATTCAATGATTATGTAAACAACAGTTCTGTGTGCGGGGTCTGACACACTCTATTCTCTGTAGAGATGTTATTCAGCCAGTTCCCTTCAATTACATTCAATTCCTTTTTGTAAATCCCTAAATCACAACAGTAGTTTTCTCGGAGGACTTTACAAAGTTGTAGATTCGCCAGCACAGATGAGAAAATCAAACAGTTCAAACACAGGAGATGGCATTTTATAAAAGGGCATTTAATTCAGCAATCCCCTTTTAATTCAGCAATCTGGTGTTCATTTTAATGTGGTAATTAAAACACCATGAATTGAAAAAGAATGATTATAGATGAATTGACAGACAATTAGGAAAACAGGTGGAGCCTCTGTCAGAAAATCCATCTATTTTCTTCTGCTTTATCTGGTAGAATGAAAACACAAAAAATGCAATGCTTTTCTAAACCATTAACCAATCAGACGACCATTTCAAGTTATTTTCATATTAACTTGAAGCCCAAAGGGGAAGCAAATAACCGCATAAATGACTGGCAAAGTGGGATGGATGTGTGTGCCTCAGGTGGGAAGAAAACCATAATATGTAGAGAAATATGCAATTATAATGAATATAAACGCAGTCTTCAACACACTTGTATCAACAACGGGATGTAAATGACTTCCTAATCCACATTGAAAACTTAATCTCACTTAGATTAGGGGCTGTCATGTCACTGGAGGTCTAGATTAGCATAATAGCAAAACAATATGAGCAGCAGCAGCAGCTAAATCCACTGGGTTTTGGTAATGAACAGTCGAAGAGTAAACAGTCCCTCTGCACTGGCGCTGGCGAGCACGTGTCCCGGAGCCTCCCGCAAGATCCGCTCACACGTCAACACCATTTGTCACATCAGGGGGGTGTGGAGTCTCACCTGCAAACAGCTGCTCTGGTGGAAAGACCATCAATGGACCAGTGCAGATGTGAGTGTGGGAGTGTGCTAGTGTCTGACCTTTATAAAACAGGGGCAGAGAAATTAACAATCTCTAACAATTGATCATGTGGGTTTTTTGAAAATGTAATGTATGCAGAGAATTGGGGCCTAAATTCTACGCTTGTCGGAATTAAAGGTGCTCTATGTATGTTTTCTGTCTTGTGAAAGTACTAATTGTTTGCATGGAGATTGCTCAGTTTTGTGCTATTTTGTCAATCAGGAAAAACAACAATAGAATTCCCATGAATGATTTCACGTTTTCTATACTTTTCGTGGAGCTGGGAAAGTTACTTACTTCCCACTTCCTGGTTCCACAAATAAAAAAGACATGTATTTTTCTGATAACAAAAACATCTGGAGGAAAATCATCAGCTTATGCATATTATCCTATGATGAGTTAAGCTTTAACCACAATCGCTTCAAAATTGTAATAAAATATCTATAAATCCTATGGGAATTTTGAATGGGAAATTTTACCTACGAAACCACAGCGGAAAGGCCACTCACTGCTGCATTCATTCTTTATCCTTGTACCAGTGAAAAAAATAGTTCCAGTACATGAATGGTTGATATTTTTTTCTTTAACCTAAATTTCAAACAAAAAAAATAAATACATACAGTATATATATATATATATATATATATATATATATATATATATATATATATATATATATATATATATATATATATATATATATATTATATATATAGATAGATAGATAGATAGATTCAATTAAATCTAAATAAAATAAAATAGATAAAAAATAAAAAATAAATAAAATAGATAATTAATAAAAAATAAATAAAATAAAATAAATAAATAAAATAAATAAAATAAATACATTAAACATTTGTACTTATGTACAAAAATAACATAAGTACTTGTATTGACAGCAGATGTTGGTTCCACTGACCATAATGAGGATTAGTGAGTGAGTGAGTGGGGGGGGGGGGGGGGGGGGGCTGGAGAGACACTTCAGACGAGGCAGTAGGGGAAAGGTTATCTGCTGTTAGGCTCCGAGGATTGACCCGCTCTGACCTCTCCCTCCGTCCTCTGAGCCTGACAGTGTATCCCCATCTACTGGACAGAACACACTAACTCCACTCAATAACAACTGCAGCATCTATAGAACGATCTGAAACTGATTAGAAATAGCTTAAGTTACTTTCTGCAGACATCCAGACGGCAGCTCGGAGAGACGACAGGCTGGGAACTTTTTATCTGATTATCCACAAATCAAAAGCATGTGACATCCACCAGTTCCGCAAAGTTATTCCCAAAGCAAACATCTAAGAGAAACTGGACTGGACTCAGCAAACTGAGGTAAAGCAACGTTTTGTTTCAGTTAAATTCTTCAAAGGTTATTCTTAACAGTAGAAGAAAATCATGCCCTTTCCCAACATTTACATCAAGTATTATCCAAGAAAATATTTGACAACCAGATTTAAAAAATAAATAAATAATAAACTGCTAAGACACTTCATGACCTTATAGTTAGAAAGTTCTGGGTCATGTGTCAGAAGATGTTTCCTCCAGGCGCTCCGGTTTCCTACACCACCCGAAAACATGCCCCATAGCCAGAGTTCAAAGTTCCCTATAGAGAAATCAAATAAATCAATGTCCACCCACCTCTTCGCCCACATTTCACTGTCTCCCCGCGTCGGTGTAGGTTTCTTCCTGGTGCTCCGGTTTCCCCTACTACTAAAATCATGCACAATATAGGTAAATCCCCCAGCTCTGGTATAGTCCTGACCAAACTGAGCATCACTATCTGGAGTTTGGTCCCCGGCTGCTGCGCTAACGCGACCACTGCTTCTGACACAGACCATAGTGGCGCTACAGAATGGGTCAAATGCAGAGGACATTTAAATTTACATTCTAATAACTGTCAGTATTCACCAGTAAAGTATTGCCTCCACATCTCCTTTCAGCACATAAAACTGTATAGATTGACATGCACAGTTTTGCATTGTAGCCCCCTCCCCGGTGTAGTGCAACTGTCACCGCCTAAGGGCCCTAATAAGGATGTACTGGTAGATTTCCACGAACGAGAATTGCCAATTAAAGCAAATCCTCACATGGAATGAGATATAACAAACAGGCTCCTTTTGCCATCCATAACAAGCGCAAAATCGATCCATGCGGCCGAGCCCATGTTATGCACAGTGAGTAACAGGAACAGGAAGTGCATATAGCGTTAAGTGTCCGGATGATGGATCCATTTTGACTTCTTCAGAGCAGTGTAAAAAGAATATAATTGGTCCATTAGCGGAGAATGCATGCTGTATATGTTCCTGACTGTCTGGGCGTTTCTGGCCATGTGAACTGTGCCGGTCAACTCCAACATGTGGGAGGATGCTGTTGTGGAGGCTGTGAGCTCACAAAGGCAGCTTTCCCTTTGACCAATCGCCTGTCAGAATATTTGCACCGTGTCCCGCCTGCTCCCGGCTCGCTCCCGCCCTCTTCCCCTCCCTGCTCTGCCTCCCTGCTCTGCCTCCCTGTCTCCTCCATGTGTCATGCATACCCTCCCCATGCACACGCTCTTCATGCTTCATGATCCATACTCCGTCATAGCAGGAATTTTCCACTCTGCAGAAGAACATTGAAGCCTGATGTGCTGTCGATACCGGTTTTCGCTCAGATATTTGAAAACACGACTTCTTTAGACTGTGACTGGCCAGTGCACACACCACCACAAACTACACACACACTCCATATGTGATCTTTTTTTATGACTCACTGCTTCTTTATGATAGCAGACACATTCACTCGGCACGTGCCTGTGTTGATTCAGCAGGACAGTGGAGCAGAAGAAAAACAACATGGCAGTCCCAGAGGAGTCGGTATGGCCTACTAATGTGCATCCTCCTTTTGTAAACGCAGAGGGAATCTCACTCGCAACCCACCGTAACCGTCACTTGCTCCTGCAGCTCTGTCCTCAGTGACCCCCCCCCCCCCCCGGTCAGTGCATGCACAAACACATCAATAGTGGTCGTGGCAGTGTGTACCATGTGTTCTGTATACATAAGACTAGAGGACTGTTATATAAGTGGCGGGCCCCTCTTCCCCTTCCTCTCTCTCGCTCTCTCTCTCTCTCTCTCTCTCTCTCTCTCTCTCTCCTCTCTCTGCTCGCACATACATTCCCTGCCTGGGCTGAAGCAGGTCAGGTGAGGACGCAGTGGAAAGGGGACAACCTTAAACTACGACACTCAACATTCAGTAACATCTATGGACATTTATCAACATCTAACATTTATGGACATTGGTCATCTGCTCCTTACGGAACAATGGCTCTATGTGTTTTTTATCATTGCATTTCTTGTGTTTGAACTCTTATTTTCTGATCTGTGTTGGCAAATTCAACGGTTTTGTTAAGTCCTCTGAGATATTTGCAAGAATAAATCGAATGGAATTGAATCAAACCACTCAGGGCCAAAATACATAGTAGTGAAAACTTACATTACACAAGAAAATAAACTACTTTCTTTAGAAACTACTAAAGAAAGGCTTGTAGTTGTGGATGTGTGTACAATTATACACAACGTTGCCTTGCTCTAAAGCTTAGGGCAATAGTCACAATGTGGTGTTGGTTACAATGTGCTGAATTCAAAGGACATTTTGTCTTTCAAATGTATGGTGTGAACTTTTCTTTGGCAACCCTTCGTATTAACCTTGGCAGAGAAGTCCGTTTCATAAATGTGCGAGTGACTGTTAAAAGTGATTTTTTTTTTGCAATCCCGACGATGACTTATCTCAGAGCATAACACCTAAATAAATAGCAGATCATATTTTGAAGAATGCAACACAGGCCTCAAATATATGCACTAATATGGAAGGAGACGTAGGAGTTTGGAGAAGAGTGGCTTCCTGGGAAAATGCCTCCCAACCCAACTTAAGTCTGACGCTATATATGTGAGTGGAGCATTAACCGAGGCTGGAACTTGGTAAATGTCAAAGTGATTAACATAATAGCAGATGATTAGCTATATGGAGTTGATAATAGCAACGGTTTATGCAGATTTACGAGTGACCTATATGCAAAACCACCTTTAAATGATAAAAAGTGCAGAAAATTGTGTGGGGAAATGAACAAACATGTAGTGAGTGACATTTTAGTCATATAAAGTGCAAAAATGTCTAAATCTAAGTTGCCTATTGCAAAAATATAGGATGGTATTGACAGCAGTTTATGTAGTAGACAGTAGTCTGAAGATTACTAAAGTCCTGACTAGAACCAGGAGGTTCTCTCACATTAGTCCAGTTCTCAGGTGGACTGGCCTCCTGGCCTCCAGGGACTGGCCTCCAGGGACTGGCCTCCTGCTGTAACTCTGAGGAGCACAGGGACTGGCCTCCTGCTGTAACTCTGAGGAGCACAGGGACTGGCCTCCTGCTGTAACTCTGAGGAGCACAGGGACTGGCCTGCTGGGATGGTTTGTGCCTTTAGATATAATCGTCACAGTGCTTCACTGGATAATTATAAAGTAAATATTCTTTAAATGCATCTATCATATGCGTCTTTCATTATAAGGAAAGAGAACATAGATTTGTTCCGCCGTCCAATGTAGTGCTCATTACCGTGGGAACAGTGGGAATAAAAAAGAGCAATTGCTTACCTTGTTTGGTGGCTCTTTTTATTCCCACTGTTCTTTTGAGCAACATTTTCCCCAATTATAATTATATGCATAGCATATTCTGTCTGCATGTTTCTGATTCTAAATTTTCAAAATATTACATAAGATGTCATGGATGAACTATGTGTAACATAAAAACTAAAGTATTGTATTAAACAAAATAGACAGTTCTCCTGTATAAAGTGGTACTAATTGTAAAAGTGCAACGTTTATTAACGCTTCAGTCTGGACTGGGTTAGGGTTAGGGTTAACCAAGGTAACCCAATTACCAGTGTCTGACACAGACAAAACCTTGTGTGAGAAACAGAAATTACAACAAACTAGTCGACATCTGAGTCCAGCTCAGAAAGTAAGTAGGATTTGAGAACAGCCCTCAGGTCAACATACTTATAAATAACAGCTTAAGTTATCTCCAGTCCGTAGTCTCTGACGTCCTGAGCATTCCATTGCATACTGCTTGACTTTTTCCCATCAGAATTCAATGTAGGCTGCATACTGTTCTCTGAATTAGCTCTGACAGAAGAATGCAGTTCATAGGTGTTAATTTACCTTGATTGACCATCACTCAGTTGGTAGAGCATTGGCCTTTGAGCCTGAAGGTTGTGGGTTCGAGCCCACCATAAGACCTACTTCACAACTCCCACTGATGACTGCTGTCGTTGTGTCCTTGGGCAAGACACTTAACCCCACTTTGCCTGAAGCCCCCACTGAAAGGTCTCAGCTCCTGTGGACTCACCACCTGCAGGAGGATCAGTGAGAGGCTGGTGCTCTGTGTACTGGGTGCAGTTCTGACGGCTGGATGACATTGTGAAAGTACCTCAATGGCTACTTTGTGTTAGCACGGAAGAGGGCTACATGAAATGAAATGTTGGTTTTAATTTGGATATGCCTGCCCTAGAATATGTTTGTGGTGTGTAAACTTTATACAAAAAAGTTAATACAGAAGCTGTTTATACCGCAGATAATTTTAAAATCAAAAGATAAGATAAGATAAACTTTATTGATCTCACAATGGAGAAATTTACATTTGGCATAGATAGAGTCAGGTTGTGCAAAAAGTCAGGGAATGTGCAAACAGGTTTAAATGGTTAAAAGTATAGTTTATTTTGCGCAAGATATATTATGTACAATAAAAAAGTGACTCAAAGTGACTATACATAGTTCCCACATGACGTCACTACATACGGGGATTTGCCGACCCGGCGCCATTTGTGCTGGCATGCTGTGGGAAAAACAATAGAAAAAGAAGCTGAAACGTGTTAATGTCGTGATAAAGTTGAAAATGGTCATCTCCTGCTGGGTCAATGGATGTTCAAATCGTGCCGGAGGTTCCGTTAAACTTGGATTTTACAGTATACCCATCATTAGACTTCATGAATGTGAGAAGACTAAGCTTTTGTCAGAACAACCACGGAGGTTATGGCTTGCGAAGATAAACAGGCAAGAAACTCCCTCAAAACACGCAAGAATATGCTCGGAGCACTTTGTGTCAGGTGCGTATCGTATCTTATAATGTGTTGACAGACGTAATTTACTCAGTACTAACTTGTGTATGCTGATATCTGGTAACTTGAGAGTTTCATTATTTAGATTACTTTATTATGAGGAGGATCGGTGTCGCGTCCGAGGCTCTCGAGGGCAACGTAAATGTATTAAATAGATAATAATAGTTCTATGGTGGGCTAAAAAAATGTTCACAAACAGCATTGCTTCTGTAAAAAGATCTGTGTCATAAAATAAACTGCTCTTTACGCCTGGAAAAATCAGTTGCCCACCATTCACCAAAACATACGGTCAAAAACGCGGAAAAAAACAATAACAGCAATCCAGAGTGTCCGTGTGGCATTAGCATTAATTAAATTAATTGTTAATATAATTAAAATAATTAAATGGAGCTCCAACTGGTATTAAATCTAAAGTTTTTGAGAAATGTATGCATTGCTTGTTAATTTTTGCTGCATAATTTGATCAAATATGTATAACATGTCCGTAGCACGTTAAACTGTGGTGCCATTGTATTAATATACAATTATTTGCTCAAAAGTTGCCCTTTTTTCCAATTTGCGTTTGAATATCTACATTTATTCTCATTCTTCTGTTTAATGGAATGCACAAACACAGCAGCGTGCCATCAAAGATGGCGTCTCCGAGGAGGTCATGTGACATTCATTGGTCTGTGGGAACTATGTATAGCAGTGCAAGATTTTTTCTGTCCTAGTGCAGGTCATTAAAGTGACTTTTTGTACTGTCTAACAGCAGTGGGGATGAATACCTTATTTGGTTAAACTTAATAATACTGAGCCTAACACATGCAGAAGCCACACAGCACACGTGAACGCACAGGGAATACATATATTATTATTATTATTATTATTATCATTAATTTGAGCAGGGATTAGCGCCTTCCTGTGGTTGAAACAGGGAAAATAAAAGAGTGGTAAACGTACTTCCTGTAAAAGCGGAAGTGGTCCGTCTCAAACACGTCCGCCGGAGCTGCATTCCGTCCGTGAACAAAAACAACATTCGTGGATCATGGCTGAAGTCGGGGTGGACGAACTTTCTCAGCTTGAATACTTGTCTCTGGTTTCTAAAGTCTGTACGGAGCTTGACAACCACTTGGGAATAAACGACAAAGATTTAGGTATTAGAAGGTTTTAGAAGAACGATCCTCCCGCGACTCTGCGGATGCTAACGTGCTAATGCTAATCAACTTACCCTGTGCTCTGTCTGACTTACAGCTGAATTTGTGATAAACCTCGCCGAAAAGCAACCTTCATTTGACGGATTTAAATCTGTTTTGCTTCAAAATGGAGCCGAGTTTACAGTAAGTACAGGGGAAATATTTTGGATGGAATATAGAGAAGCTACATTTGCCTAAGCTGAAATCCGTCCTTTTTAGCTGTGCATGTGAGTTTTTAAATATTGAGCTTTTGTAAGGTTGAAATATTCTGTCTTCTTTTTTATTTTATTTTTTACCTTTTATGTAACTAGTTAAACAGTTTTGTAAATAAACATGTAGCGATCGCCTACGTTAACAACTTCTTGAACGCAGATTCTAGACGTGTAAAGTCTGTAAATGAGTTGATGTAATGCTGGGTTACCTAACTGTTTCTCCTCATTTACAATCACCCGAAAGAGACTATTTGGTAAAAGTTTTTGCATAGTTTAGAAACGGCCACTATTTGACTCTTTTGTGCTGAGAGCTGAGCAAGATTGGTCCTCTTTTTTACTAACCTGCCTGTGATCTAAAGCTGTGACAAAATGACATGCTTGTGAAAACTACTGATCCAACCAAATAGTTTGAGAGCCAGCAACTTACATTTCATTTTTTGTGATTTGAAAGTTTGCTACCTCAGCTTTAATGAGATGTTTCTGCATTTTTAGAAAATTGTTTACAGGCTTTGTATGTATCTGTCATTTGATGTTACATAACAGATATACACAAGTTAGATTGCCCTGTTATCATCTTTTATTATAATACTTGCATTACTGCCCCACCTACCTAAACTCTCCAACAAGTCGATTTGTGATCATTTATATTCCATTTCTATAGGACTCTCTCGTTGGTAACCTGCTCAGGCTCATCCAAACAATGCGTCCGCAGTCCAAAGCTTCCACAAGTAAAGGTAATACTATTGATTTTATTGTTTCGGCTGACCAGAGGTAGACTTTTTTAACTTGGCCCTTTTTGACAGTTTCAGTCCCAGATGTTGTGGTCAAATCCAAGTCAGAAAAAGACCGGCTAAAGGAACTGTTTCCAGCCCTGTGCAGAGCCAATGAGCCTGAGCCAAAGGTACTGTATTATCATTTGAAATACTTGTGAACTTTTGTTTAAATCAGATATCTAAAAATAATGAAAACAAAATATTACTACTGCTTTGACTCACAGAGAATTTCTACTAATATTTATTGGCTTTACAGAAAATTCTTGATGAGGAAGATGTTAAGATCGCAGCAGAAGCGATGAAGGAGCTGGAGATGTTCATGCCCAGTGTCAGCACGGTCAAACCTGAAAGCAAAAGCAGGTAAAGGCATCAGTCTGTTTTCATTATAAAACTTTATTTGAACCATTTCTGATACAGATTTTGTTCTCTCTGATCTAATTTACATTGTATGTTTTGGGTTAAAAATTTGATTATATTCATGATAATCACAATTATGTGTGATTACAATCTAAAGTATAAAAGTTCGCAAAAGATTTCTGAGAGGTCACTGTCAATTTATTTAGATTAATTTGAGTAATTTCAATGCCGTGTTGTAAACCCAAATGTCCTTTGTGCACGAGGCAGACCCCATGCACTCAAATGTAAATTCTCCTAATGCAGTGTTTTTACTTATTAGAGATAGAAGCAGACGCCACAGTCGAAGCCGCAGCCGAAGCAGAGACCGCGACCGACACAGAGATCGGGATCGGGACAGAAAGAGGAGACATAGGTCTCGCTCCAGGTCCAGGTCACGCTCCAGAGACCGAGAGCGGAACCGCGACAGGGATAGAGACCGTGACAGAGACAGAGATAGAGACCGGGACAGGGGGAAGAGGAGGGACAAGTCGTCTCGCTGGACTGACCGCTCCCCGAGCCCTCGCAAAGACGACAGAGAGTGGAAAGACAAACACGTGGAGCGCCCTCCGCCTGAAGAGCCCTCTGTCGGCGACATCTACAACGGCAAAGTCACCAGCATCATGCAGTTTGGGTGCTTCGTGCAGCTGGAGGGGCTACGGTAAGATGAATGCTCCGTTATTAATGTGACTGGATTGTTTTAAATGCTGCCAATTTATTTACAAGACCTGGTCACACTTTATTTATCCTGTGGTCTGAGGAAAATGCATCAGTTTTGCTGTTGTCATGGACTATTCTGTAATAATTGCTCCGTCTGAGTCTCCTCACGGCAGGTTTTTGCTCGTTACACGTTGGTGCTTATACAACACAAAGCCCACAGTGAGTCCACCTCGGGGCAAGTGTGACCTCATCTTTTGGTTTTCAAATGGATCCACAACTGAAGTCTATTGAATGAATTGTGTCTGTAATTCATAAATCCTCTTCTGGTATCTGAGTGGGTTTCAGTGTTGATGTTCACAGTACAGGAACAGTAGGATATATCAGCTCTCAAAAATAAGATAAAAAGCTGTTAGCTGTAAAAGGATGGTTAAAAGTTTTATAATCCCTGAGTGCAGTTTCAAATGGGGAGATCAAATTGACCTTACACTGTATCTCAATCTGGCCATGGCAATGATGGGAACCGGGATGTCGATGCTGTGAGAAAATATTTTTGTGATTTTGTCAGCTCCAGTTCTAAACAATTTCAACACGAACAGAGTAGAATTGTTATTTATCTTGCTTGTGTGTTTGCAGGAAACGCTGGGAGGGTTTGGTCCACATCTCTGAGCTGCGGAGAGAAGGTCGCGTGGCCAACGTGGCGGATGTCGTCACCAAGGGCCAAAGAGTCAAGGTCAAAGTCTTGTCCTTCACCGGCTCCAAAACCAGCCTCAGTATGAAGGTAGACTCACAAGCGAAGTGGCGCTCACGTGTTTAGGAATTGATGTAAAAATGTCATTTTCTGTACCAGGACGTGGACCAGGACTCCGGAGAAGACTTGAACCCGAACAGGAGGAGGAACATGGGCCCAGACGGAGGTGACGAGACCTCGATGAGAAATCCGGACCGACCCAGCAACCTGAATCTAGGCCACGCCCCCGAAATGGAGCAGGACGACACGCTGGAGCGCAAACGGCTCACCAAAATCTCTGACCCGGAGAAATGGGAGATAAAGCAGGTGTGTGTCTCGTCTTTGTGGACTGTATTGCTGAGTGTCAAAGAAGGATTCAAACTTCACTTTGGGTCATTTTGGTTTTTCAATAGATGATTGCTGCCAATGTTTTATCTAAAGAAGAGTTTCCAGATTTTGATGATGAAACAGGAATTCTTCCAAAAGTGGATGATGAAGAAGGTACTTTTTTATAATAACATTTCAATGTGTTTTTTACATAAAATTATGATGAAAGTTTTTTTTTTCCAAACAACATCATTCTGTATAATGCACTAGTTTTCTAAGAATTAAATTATCTATATAATGCATTCTCTCTTGCGTTTTCAGATGAGGATCTGGAGATTGAGCTTGTGGAAGAAGAGCCTCCCTTCCTGCATGGCCACACCAAACAGAGCATGGATATGAGCCCTGTGAAGATTGTGAAGGTGTGTGGTTTAGCTCTATATTATGCTTTTTACACAATGTTTAATTGGAATAACAAAATGTAACCCAACGTGTGCCTTGTGTGCCAGAACCCCGATGGCTCGCTGTCACAGGCCGCCATGATGCAGAGTGCTCTGGCCAAAGAGCGGCGTGAGCTGAAGCAGGCGGCACGAGAGGCCGAGATGGACTCCATCCCCATGGGCCTGAACAAGCACTGGGTCGACCCGCTGCCTGATGGTAAGACACTTCTCACACAGGATTAGAGTAAGAAAACACCAGCTGGTGCTGCTCAAGCCCACTTTATTAAATATAAGGGTGTCAATTTAAAACATCTGCAGAGTGGAAATTAACACTTAAATATTGTCCAAGTCCAGACAAAGTTTTAATCGGTTTTAGTTCATATGGAAAGAGCGTTAAAAGCGTGGCGTGTATGCGGCGCACGTCCCAAGAACAGGGCTCCAGGCTTTAGCGTCGTGGAGATCCTTATCTGGTTTCCTGCAGTGCCGTCTGTCCGGATAGAAACGTCTTGGTCGAGTGTCCTGCTCAGCCTGAGGTGCTCAGACTCTCCTGCTGTAACCCTGCTGTGACCCTGCTGAGCCCACTGCCATCTATTCATCCATTTAAAGAATACACGTCTGTCTGTTTGGACTTAATATATAAGTCTCAATATGGATTAAAAAATATTTTTTAAAGCAAACAAGTCCGTGGCTTATAGCGGTGGGCATGTACTGGGTGCAGTTGAAAACTGTTTTACATAATTCTAAAAACGTTTTAACATCACTAATAGTTAATATTAAATAATCTTCTCTTTTTAATGGTTTTTGTAATTGGAAAGAAACTGTTATACATATTAATCTTTCCTTTGTGCAGTTGATGGGAGGCAGATTGCTGCTAACATGAGAGGCATTGGCATGATGCCAAACGATATCCCAGAATGGAAGAAGCACGCCTTTGGGGGAAACAAGGCCTCATACGGAAAGAAGACCCAGCTCTCCATCCTGGAGCAGAGGGAGAGTCTGCCCATCTACAAACTGAAGGAGCAGCTCATTCAGGTGACTATGACCATGTGTGGTTGTAATGACTTAATCCACAGTGCTAAACTCACAACAGATGCCTTCACTAATTATCACATTTGAAAATGGTTATTTCCTTTGTTGTGGTCGGTCACATATCTTCCATTTGGCCCCGAGAACCTGCAGCTGTTCCTATGATTCACCTCTAATTGTGCTCTACTGTGTCAGGCTGTGCATGATAACCAGATCCTCATTGTCATCGGAGAGACGGGCTCCGGAAAAACCACCCAGATCACACAATACCTGGCAGAGGCGGGCTACACCAGCCGAGGGAAGATCGGCTGCACCCAGCCGCGTCGTGTGGCCGCCATGTCTGTGGCCAAGAGGGTGTCTGAAGAGTATGGTTGCTGTTTAGGTCAAGAGGTGGGTCTGTCACAATAATGTTGAAATCAATCCACCTTAAATATGAAGAGATGGTTTTATAGGTGTGCCTCAGCATGACACTGTCCTTATGGTTTCAATGTATTTTTATTCAAACATCTCTCTGCTCTCTGTCCCAGGTTGGATACACAATCCGTTTCGAGGACTGCACGAGCCCCGAGACTGTGATCAAATACATGACAGACGGAATGTTGCTGAGGGAGTGTCTGATCGACTCTGAGCTGGGACAGTACTCTATCATCATGCTGGACGAGGCTCACGAGAGGACCATCCACACTGACGTCCTGTTCGGCCTGCTCAAGAAGGTACGGCGTCCCACTGCAAAGTCACGCTCATATATAATCTATGGATGCCTAATGACTTTCACCTGCTGCAGACCGTACAGAAGCGCACAGACATGAAGCTGATCGTCACGTCGGCCACACTGGACGCTGTCAAGTTCTCCCAGTATTTCTACGAAGCTCCCATCTTCACCATCCCAGGACGGACGTACCCCGTGGAGGTCCTGTACACCAAGGAGCCTGAGACGGACTACCTGGACGCCAGTCTGATCACCGTCATGCAGATCCACCTCACCGAGCCGCCAGGTCAGTCCGCTCTCTCTACCGCCATGTTCTCAAGCCTGTGTCAACATTATACACTGCTCACTTACAGGTCTTCAGTCGTTTTTTTTCTTACTCTCAATTTTTACGTGTTTTTGAATGAATGAACAGAATTGTAGCCAATAGTAATAAAGAGAAGCCTTGATAGTATATAGATATTGGTGTAAAAGTTTTGGGTAGTAGAGGGAGTTCCTCTCAGTGATATTGTAAAACCTTTTTTTTTTACTGTTTGTGCTTCTTCTAGGTGATATTCTGGTGTTTCTGACCGGTCAGGAGGAGATCGACACGGCTTGTGAAATCCTTTACGAGCGCATGAAGTCTCTGGGGCCCGATGTCCCTGAACTCATCATCCTGCCGGTGTACTCTGCTCTGCCCAGTGAAATGCAGACGCGCATCTTTGACCCGGCTCCTCCAGGCAGCCGCAAGGTATTTATTATCACCGCTGTCTCAGGCATTTTAGTGTCGGTACCAGTTTGGACTTACACCATCTGTTTGAGTGGTAATGTAGCCACCTGAAACAACTCCAATGGGTGTTTTTTTTTTTTTTTAGGTGGTCATCGCTACCAACATCGCAGAGACCTCTTTGACCATCGACGGAATCTATTACGTGGTGGATCCCGGGTTCGTGAAGCAAAAAGTGTACAATTCCAAGACTGGCATTGACCAACTTGTAGTCACTCCCATTTCACAGGTAAAGAATTGCATGAAATAGATTGACTTTTAAGCAGCAAGGGAAAAACCTTACGGCACATAGACATTTACCCAAGTCCATATTTCTTATTATTTCGTGGCTATAGCTCTGGTGTGTACTATCCTCTTTGTCTGGTGCGCACTGGGCTTCTCTCGTACAGTTTTTCCAATATGGTTTTACTCCAAATGGCAAATAAATTCTTGTATCTTGTATTTCCAGGCTCAGGCCAAGCAGCGGGCGGGGCGTGCCGGAAGGACGGGGCCAGGGAAGTGCTACAGATTGTACACGGAGAGGGCGTACCGAGACGAGATGTTGACGACAAACGTGCCCGAGATCCAGAGAACCAACTTGGCCAGCACCGTGCTCTCGCTCAAGGTGCGCCCCGGTGTTTGAATTCATAATAACATCTGGTGGGTAAATGTACAGCAGAGCACTTATCCTCCCACCGTCTCTCTCCCTCTCTCTCCCTCTCTCTCCCTCTCTCCAGGCCATGGGCATCAACGACCTCCTGTCCTTCGACTTTATGGACGCCCCGCCCATGGAGACTCTCATCACAGCCATGGAGCAGCTGTACACCCTGGGAGCGCTGGATGACGAAGGGCTGTTGACAAGACTTGGGAGGAGGGTAAAGACCATCCAATCAAACCGTTTCTGTAATATATGATGCAACTAAAACACCAAAGTACATGTTTTAAAGTAGTGTTTCTATAACCGGGGATATGCAAGAGTATTACAGGGGGTACAAAACTAGCAAACATTACTAGTAACAGAATTGGCTTACCAGTGCATGTTGTACATATATTTAAATCTAATTTGACCAAGAATACAACTAAATAATGTATTCTATTCTAAGCATTGAACCCAGAAAACATTTAATAATAATAATCAGTTAAGTAAGAAAAAGAGTGTCAAGCCTTTTGTTCTAGCTTTGGTTCAGTTCATGTTTGTTCAGAAGATTCAGGAAAAAATAACAAAATCAGTTGCAAAATATTACTTGTGTACAGCTTTCGACAAATGCTGGAGATAAAGGTAAATGTGTTTGACCCCAGGGAGCTATAAACATTATTCTCCATCTTAACAACAGCGGGTACTTGTCCTGTGTCTACACTAAAAAGTTTGGGAACCACTGCTTTAAAGCCAGGGGCAAATCAATACTGTTCTGCAAATGAAAGTGGGCAGTAGAGAAGTGAGTGTGATGCATGACTATTCCAATCATGTTTCTTTGTCCCTGTAGATGGCAGAGTTCCCTCTGGAGCCCATGCTGTGTAAAATGTTGATCATGTCCGTCCATTTGGGCTGCAGCGAAGAGATGCTCACAATTGTGTCCATGCTGTCGGTGCAAAACGTCTTCTACAGACCCAAGGTAACCGTCACTTTTCATCTATCTGCCTCGTTCTATTTAAGAAGGTGCATTAAATATGAAGTCAATCCAAAACAAAATGCCACACAAGTTTTCAGTACTGATCAAAACCTGAAAATGTAAACGTGCAAGTGGCTGTGATCCCAGGGCTGTACACGTTGCCTGATATTTCTCGATTGTATTATGTGACCTAATAAAAGCGTTTATGTAAAATTTCCTCTTGTAATTCCCGCTTTTATAGGACAAGCAGGCATTGGCTGACCAGAAGAAGGCAAAGTTCCACCAGCCCGAAGGCGATCACCTGACTTTACTGGCCGTGTACAACTCCTGGAAAAACAACAAGTTCTCCAACCCCTGGTGCTACGAGAACTTCATCCAGGCCCGGTCACTGCGCCGCGCTCAGGACATCCGCAAACAGATGCTGGGGATTATGGACAGGTAGGTGCAAACATGTCAGACTGTTATTCGAGTGTCCCCCTGAGAACTGAGAGATCACACAGAGCAGGGCTGTTCCATACATTTTTTTTCTCAAGAGCCCAATTCTCTTGTACGGCCGTGTTCTCTGGCTCGGATAATTGTACAACACATCAGGACTTTGATTTGTCTTACTGAACACAGATGTTTACTATTAAAAAATAATAATATTAACCAAAAAGTGACAAAGCAAACGTATGTGTTTGTGTGTGTTAATAATTATCTAAAAAGGTTTAAAGCTGGGGTACCTATATTTCAAACCAAAAAAGATTTTTGACTTTGAAATAATACTAGTTACTCATCTTATCCCCACTGTCTGGAATTTCTTTAACTCTCTCTCTGGTCTCTTTCTGATCTCTCTCCTGTCTCTCTCTAATCACTACCTAGTCTCTCTCTGGTCTCTTTCTGGTCTCTCTCCTGTCTCTCTCTAATCACTACCTGGTATCTCTGGTCTCTTTCTGGTCTCTCTCTAATCACTACCTGGTATCTCTCTCTGGTCTCTCTCTGTTCACAACCTTTTACTTCTTCAAGACTTTAGGCACCCCAGCATATGTCTCTTTAAACAGAGAAGCAAATTCTCACTTGAAAGGAGAAACAGAAATGTCTTCAATGCGGTTCTGTTTCCAGGCACAAACTGGACGTGGTGTCCTGCGGTAAAGCCACCGTCCGTGTTCAAAAGGCCATTTGCAGCGGTTTCTTCAGAAACGCAGCCAAAAAAGACCCACAGGAGGGATACCGCACCCTGATCGACCAGCAGGTGGTCTACATCCACCCCTCCAGTGCGCTCTTCAACAGGCAGCCGGAGTGGTACGTGCATCTTTCACCTTTGGTTTTGTTAATTTAATATTTCAATGGATCGACTCGTTCATGCTTCAAGATATTTAAAACAAAAGGAAAGCTTGTATCAGCCGGTTTCTATATATTCCTCATTAAAATGTTCGGCCTGTTTGTGAAGCTTGCAATTCAGTGTCAGTCTAATGTGAAGTCAGGGCAAAAATACCAAATGACACAAGACAACATTTACAAGTTTTCCATTTTCAATTCATATTTTTTTATCTGTATTTTTTTTTTCTTGAAGTATATTCAAAATTCAACTAAACATAACTAGAGTTGGGACAAAGGGGCTGGAAGTTCTAAGATTAATTTGTCGTTCTGATTGAGCAGTTTTTCTTACTTCTGCCAAGGGGTTATGTTTTCACCAGGGTTTGTTTGTCTGTTCGTTTGTTGGCCTCATAACTCAGAAGGGCAAGGTTCTCAATAAAGGACATAAGTAATAAATGTGTTGATTTTGGACGTGATCTGTTTCACCATCTGGAATCTTTTTCTTTTTTTTAAGAACGTAATCACACCTTTCTTTTGAAGTGTTAGTCCATGAGTTTCCAGTTTGGAATCTTTTCAAAGCAACACTCCGCACGCCCTGTAACGCCGTGCGCCTTTTCCGCCCACAGGGTTGTGTACCACGAGCTGGTCCTCACCACCAAAGAGTACATGCGGGAGGTGACCACCATCGACGCGCGCTGGCTGGTGGAGTTCGCCCCCGCCTTCTTCAAAGTGTCGGACCCCACGCGCCTTAGCAAACAGAAGAAACAGCAGCGTCTGGAGCCGCTCTACAACCGCTACGAGGAGCCGAACGCCTGGAGAATCTCCCGGGCATTCAGACGCAGATGAGGTGTTCTGTCCGATGGAGGATAGGTCCAATGATAAAACCTGGATATTTCCTCTGGTCAGCTTTTCTCTCAACGTCTGCTGTTTTATTTTATAGTGGAACAAATGGGAACATTGTCAAAAGGATCATTTTTATGACTTAAGATCGAAAACGGCGATCAGGTGATTAAACGTGGGGTCGTCCTGTTTTAGGTGACAGGGAGCCGTATAAGTTTTACAGCACTGAAACCAGACACAAAAATAAAACGTTACTATTCGCCTTTCATGCTAGGAACTCAAGGTTAGTCTGGGAGGTTTTACTAGATTTTTATTTGTGCTCCGAAAATGCTTTTTGGATCATCTGTGCCCTATATTTAATTTCCACTTCACATATTTTGTAGCCATGTGCTCTTGTTATGTTTTGTACTTGTGAATGCAAATATCAGATTCCAGTGTAAATAGTGACTTACCATGAATAGTACACATCTGTGGCCACACATCCATACGTTTAATAATCTTTTAATTTGATGTGTTTATACAAAATAATTGTTTCAATACGTACCACATAACACACTTGAAGCCCTTAAAATATGTAAATTAATAAAACCCAAAATCTGTTTGCTTGTATTAATATTTGAAAGTTTTGTCTATAATTTGGATTTACTATTGAAGATTATAAGACTTCCTGGAAGAGAATGATAAGACCAATGGGGAGGGGTCTCAGCTGTCTATCAAGGAATTAGTTGCGTCCAATCAGGCAGCTGTGGGGGCGGGTCTAACTGGCGACAGCTTTCAAGAAACATGACACAGATTAAAAATGTTTAATACTGTTTAATCTACTTTTAATAGAACAACTTTTAAAATTGTGTCTTGAATGTACTTCATGATCAAGTTCAATCTCAAGGAAAGGTTTTCACCACGTTTCACATTTCCATTTTAGGTTATTTAGCATTGATCTGTACCCGCTTTTATTTCTACAACATAACAAAGGTACATTTTATTGATCCCCAGAGGGCAATTTGTCCTCTGCATTTGACCCATCCTGATGCAGCAGTGGTCGCCATAGTAACAGCGCCCGGGAACCCATCAGATGATGCTGAGCTTGTGTCAGGACCAGAGCTGGAGGATTTTACCTAGAGTGCATGTTTTTAGTGGTAGGGGAAACCGGAGTACCCGAAGGAAACCTACGCAAGCACGGGGAGAACATGCAAACTCCACTCCGAAAGACCTCGTTCCGACCAGGATTCGAACCCGGGACCTTCAAGCTGAGAGGCAAGAGTGGAATTCACTTAGCCACCGTGGGCAGGCAATTCCAATGAGGACCATTGTTGATTCTTTTATGCTCCTAAAAGTTTACATACCCCAGCCTTTTTCTCAGACAATGTTGACAAAAACATTGAGGTTGGACGTGTTTACTCTTTAAAAACACAACAAAACTCACCAAACAGAAAAGATGATTGTGATCAAGAGTTTCCGAACCCTGGTGATTTTAGGTCGACACAAACCTGGATTCAAATGATCTAAAAAAATCCTCCTTGACTGTAAATGCCTTCCATTCTAACCATGAGTGGAAAAACTGTTACCATTCCACCACAGTATGTAAACTTGTGAGCACAACTGTTCATAAGACAAAATAACATATAATTGTTAGAATCCACAGGCTGGATCTGGATTACATGAGCCTGGATCTGCAGAGAGTAAACAGACTTGAACAGGGCCATAATGGCAGAGCTTTGGGGCCAAATGAGCGTCTATAGAAGTGTGTCTGTTTTGTGGCCTCTCTGTTACAATGCGGCAGTGTTTTTTGGTGGGGCTGGAGATGGTTATCGCTCGTTGGGATGAATTTACTGTGACATAACCCGCTGTCTGTATCCTCTGTAGCTGCAGGGGCAGAAGGAGGTTATGAGGCTGACCGACTTCTGCCTCTGACTCATACGACACAAGGAAACACAGGCTGTTTTGGAAGAAGTGAAGTTTACCTAGCAACAGTGGCCGATCTTAAATCTTAAAGGTGATGTCTGCAACTTCAATTGTATTTCATTTTTTTCATTCAGTACATATTTCTGACCTTAAAGAGCGACTAAACACCAAATCAACTTTTTTTATTCCATAAACTGCATAAATATGTTTATTGTAGTGCTCTCGACATATCCTGGTCATTTTTTGACATTTTAGTTCAAATTAGATAAAATCTCACTTTTGAGCCTAAAAACGTCTGTGTGGTGCCCTCTCTACCTTTTTTGGTTAGGGTGACTACATTTGAATTTGGTTCTGGCCTCTTCATTGACTGTAATTCTCTATGACGTCAGTTGGTGTGTGTGACGTTAGTTGGTGTGTGTGTGACGTCAGTGGGTGTGTGTGTGACGTTTCTCCGTTAGTTGGTGTGTGTGTGACGTGCGTCTGTCTGCGCCAGTGGAATAAACCCATTCAACTCTCACACACGCCCCAGGAGCAGGTTGGAGTATTCTGGCGACATCTAGTGGTTTAAAATGAAAATACATGAGTAATTCTGAGATAATTGTGTGACAAGGTTCAGGTGTGTAGCTTTACAATTATCTTAGTGTGTAATCAAAGGTGGAATGAGACTTTCTGGTCTGTAAACTATTGCTTTAAGCGGCAATGACAACTGTCTGTTTTTTTTGTGTGTGACTGGTGAGCTGTCAATCACAGCCCAGACCACGCCCAACTCTAAGCCCCCCTTCTTGTCCTTTGGTCCTCCAGGCAACGCCCTTTTAAGAGAACACTTTCAAATCTCCATGTGGGCGGAGTAAGGCTGGGCACAGGTGTTTAGTCGCTCTTTAAGATCCTGTAGTACCATCAGAATTAAGTATTTTTTCATAATGAATATTCAAAACAGTCCCTCCCCGTGGAATAAGCAATCCTGGTAAGATACTGGTGGAGAATATATAGTTAGTTATTAGATAGTTATAGGCCTCAGCTGTCTATCAAAGATTTAATTTAATTGCAACCAATCAGGACCCTGTGGAGGCGTGTCAAACCGGCGCTTGTTTATGTTTGTTTGTTTGTTTATTTATTTCAAGTAAGAAAAAAATAACATACACAGTCTATTTCAATTCACAATCATGTAACTTGAAAAGGGGATGGAGGAAGCTTACGCTTATTTGGTTCCACCCCCCACTCACACCACACTACACCAAATACACACACTACAACAATAAACAGAAACACGACACAGGCCCCAAACACTCCAACCATACACCCCTTTGCCCCATACAATACATGATAGACACTATGATAGTACTCAAAAAACAGTAGTTCCAATCACAATTGCACATATTTACAATAAAGTCATTTACAGTCTTGACATTTGGAATGTATTAAGTGTAATTCATTTTAAACATTTACCCATACCCAGGCCATACACACACATGTGCCTGTCTATGAGAGCATCAATCTCCCATCTCTTCCTGGTACTTACTCATTATATATCTTTTAAACATTTTTTTAAATTGCACAAGTTTTTTACATGTTTTCCATTCCTCTGGAAGACTGTTCCACAACATGACCCCCCTCACTGAAATGCACATAGATTTAATGGTTGTCCTAACTTTTGGCTGATAGTTTATTGATCCCTCTCAGATTAGTGATGAGCATCCCGATCTTGGAAAAGACTCTGGATGTGATCAGGAAGAGAATTGGTAGATACTTTGTACATGATCAGAGCTGTTCTATAATTTACTACATCATACAATTTTCAATTAAATGTGTGAAAAAACAGTGGGTTGGTGTGCTCATTATATTTTACTTTATGAACAATTCTAATTGCTCTTTTCTGGAGCGTGACTAAAGGTAATAGATTTGTTTTGAAACAACTTCCCCAAATTTATATATAATAATTTAAGTATGACATTGTAAATGAGTGGTACAAAATAAATAAGGCATTTTGATTGAGCATGGGACTACATCTCTTCATCACACCAACACACTTTGCTACTTTTGATCGCAGATAAGTTATATGAGGTTTCCAAGAAAGTTTTTGATCAATAATTACTCCTAAAAACACATTTTGTGGTACCCTTTATCTCCAGAATTTTAAAAGATTTTTTTATTTTCTCGCAAACAATGCATTTTGTTTGTCCCAACAGAAAGATACTTGAAAAACGGAACAAAGCACACATCATTTTGTCTTTATCTGAAACCCTAGTCACTATTTTACTTTTTGGGGTGAGAGCAAATTAAGTCCTCTGCTTTTTCCCACTAATCTGCCTGAAAAATCTGATCTTAATCTGATCTAAACATCAGATGTAAAGATGTATGTCCTTTCACATGCAACTGTTTTGAGAGCGACCATTCAACTATTCAATTCTTCAATGATTTCAAAGTTATAGGGACCCAGCTTTATTTTGTGTCTTTTTTATTTCAGTCAGTCTATTTACAGTATATGCTTTTAGATTGTATTGAAATCGACATTAGGCAATTGATTTGTCTGCTAATTTATTTAGAACAATCCGATAGTAAGCGATGGGGAAACAGATGCACAAATCAATCCCAGCTAATCAAGCCATCACAGAGCAGTAAACATACACATAGATTCTGTATGTAACAAAAGTATAGGCTGGATAGATAGTTTTTTTTTTAACCTGTTTTGTGCTGAAGTCAAAAATAATCATCCAGTAATTGTATTTTTTGCGACAAACATTTAAATTAGGATTAGATTGACCATTAATGGTTCGGAAATAGTAATGTTATTCAATGTACTCTGTAAAAAATGACTAGAATAAACACAGAATAATAAAGTGCTTTCTAATAAGATACAGACTGCATGTTGAAATCTAATCCGACAAACAAAATGTATTATTTACAAGAGGATAATGCTAGCTATACCCCAGAATTACAGTGACATTTGGATATATACAGTATAAGCCTATGACAGGTCAGGAGTATTGCCAGATCTGAGCCGGTTTGAACATTCTGAATCCAAACCCTGGATTTTTCAACATTTCCATTATCTTTCTGTTGGCTCTGCAGCTTGTTACTAAAGCGCTCTCACAAATGTTTTATTT